AATGTTTTTATTTACGAAAATGTGTTGATCTATTATCTTGTAATAATAATATGACGATGAGGAACATTGTCTACGTAATTTTTGAATGACCCTTGTATGTACCGTTTTGTTCCGCTTCAATGCCGTCCCTTTGAAAAAAAAGATGTTTTTATACCTCAAAGTGCCTAAGAATTTCGCTAGGCTGCCGTACTTCCGGTTTATCCAAACAGAATAGAAAGGTAAGTTCTGATTGGTCAATAATAAAATAAAATTTAGACAGCTGGGTAGACATGAAGAGAGAAAAAAATTATTTGTCACGGTATGTTCAACGTTTATTGGAGACTTAGTTGCAGTTTATATATTTTAGCCTTTTCACAATTAATCTCTTCGAATAATGAAGAATATTAGTTTAGTATATAAAAAAAGTCATGTTATTTATGTGTATGACATTGACCAATCAGAATTTACCTTTTTATTCAGTTTTGATAAACCGATCACGGGTGTGAATTTTCGATGATGTCATATTCTCGTCGTTCATAATACGAAGCAAATCAGCTCAGTTTGTATCGTTGTGACAGGGAAAATTGGTACAATAAAGTTTGTATAATTATGATTTACAATAGCCCATATCTAAGATTAATTTAAATTCACAGTCCAAAATTCAACATTTAGGTTAGGACTTCGTTAAAATTTTAATGAAAATACATCTTCTCATGTTTGGTATGCATGGCTGCAGTGCACTTTGAGTGGCTTTGCTGATTAATACTGGCGCAAAGGGGGCAGGGGGTTTACAGATAGACTTTTACAATGAAAAATGTTTATTGAAGATTGATTGATTCTTCACCATCAAGAAATTGAATTAGTTTTTTTTCATTATATTCTTTCTTATTATGTTCATGTATTTATCACGAGGAAGTGACATATTTACTGCGAGATGAATGGTCTTATTTTAATTGCCCAATCTTAACTGTACTCTTTATTTCGTTGTAGCAAATTAAAATTGATTATCTTTTACTGTAGTCATAAAATTCCAATGTGAACGGAAGTTAGAGCCTTCCTTTGACACTACCCATATGAAATAATATTCTCGAAGTTAGAAATCTTCATCCTTTAAAAAAAACTTCATGCCTCTATAAATAGAAAGAACCCTTGTATTTCTGGTCCTATGAGAAAGTTAATCAGTTCAATGTTCAGGTTTGACCAAATGGTCATGGCCGGAGAAAATCATGACATATTCGGGCCGTTGTGGCTCGTTCATGAATATTATGGACTTTTCATTCTGTACATCAAGTTTTGTAGCAAAGATTTAAAAAACTATTTCTGAAAAAGAATGTAAATGTACTGTACTTTGATATAATAATCATCCTGATAGTTTTGTTTAAAAATGTCATTACACAAACGATTTTTGCAGCACACTTGAGTGCTTGCATGTATTTTACGACCCTCTTATTGGAATGTGTGTACAGGCACAATATACTGTAAAGTGCTCTGGGTGCACATACGTGATATTTATACAAAACGTACAACGTACCATTGACCTTTTGTTCACAGTTTGACCTGAATTTGTAAGCATAAACAATATCAATGATAAATTAATTAATAAACAATGAACATTATTATACATGTACATATTCACATAAAAATTATATCTTGAAATTTTATTTCTTTCACCCCCATGAATCTTTAGTCCAGTCATCTTTATTAAGAGGTTTTAATAATAATATCAAGGAAATTAAATGACATTCATTTGTTTATTTCATTTTATCAATGAAAACAATTAGTTTTGAACTTTATATGCACAAAAAAAATTAACCATAGAAAATTTTGTTCGAAACTTTATATTAGATAAGACAAAGATAATTTAATTGCATTTATTGAAGTTAACTGTATTTTCAAGCCCTTTTCTTTGAATGCAATAAAATTGAAACTTTTTTAATTAGAGTAATTAATATATTGAAAACTTTTCAACATTACTAGTAAAACAACTTAAAGAATAACATTGAGAATATTTACATACATAAAGTCATCATTATGATTCTAACAAAGTTGGGAATATTTACATATACATGTACATACATCATAATAATTCTAAATAGGAAAATAGTTTTAAAAAATTACAGTCTTGAAAAACGATCAAATCCTGACGGAAATGCAATGTTCAGGTCTCCCCATAAATTTTTTATTCAAAGATATACTCGTATATATAAACAAGTTTAAGATTGCTTTAAATATATTACAAACTGATTAAATACAAGTAAATTAATTTTCGCTGCTAAACAGTGATGTGCTTTATCACAAACTAAATAATGTTCAGTTCAGTTCACTTTATTCGCCCAAACGAAAACATGGGGTTCATCTAAACCAAGGTTCTCCATCACTGGAAATTTTACTGTGTAGCAGAATATGCGCGAAGCACTAAAATTTTGCGGTATTTTCGTGATCATATTTGAAACTGAATCACCATTCATCATACTTATAAAAGAAAACATGCACAAACTTTAAAAAAAAAATTGCTAATTCGTTACACAAATGGTATGGTCGTACATATTGATAAAAGTAAAAAAGTGTTCTGAAAAATTCTGGTCGATACAGTTGAACTACTTAAACATTTTTGAAAGTAAATTTGTCGTGATTATTTGTCAGTTTTCCTGATCAAATTACCGAATTACAAAAAAACAGAATCTTCAGAGTTCCTTGAACATATTGAAAATTTTAAGCAATGTATTTACATCAATTCAATGGCTTCGGTGCGATGTTATGTTGACTTAAAGTGCTTACATAGTTCTACAGCCGTTTGTTAAAACAGAAAAAAGAATAAAATCACTTATAAAGCTGTGACGGATCAGACAATAAAATTCTTTAACAATTCATAAGGCCTGTAATATCCTTTCAAAAAGCCCGCGCTTTCGAAAATAGTTCGCGAAGATATGCATTACGTAGCGTGTATACATAAATCGCTCTATCGCTACATGTTTTATACCTAAATAAGAATCCGGTATGTATCTTATTCTGTTTTCAATTTAATTCTCAAAATAAATCTTTAAAAAAATGAACAACATTTCCAAAGACTGAGAGTCTAAAAAAATTTGTGGAGCTACAATGAAGCGCATCGAAGTGGTAAAATTTTCCATTTGGATGAAACGTTCTGAGTCATGTTTTGAACGTCCATTATAACATAACGACACGCCCATTTCTTTAGAAACGAGAAAGCAATATTCATCGCAATGTTTTGGAACACCCCTCTTTCAGCGACAAGCAACATGATTGACACTGAAATGAAGATTTTTAAAAGGACACAATGAGTCAAAATCATGTCTTTCTTTTAAGATATCTGTATCATACAGAGATAGACTTATGAAAATTATGAGTATATAGCTAGGATATAACAATTAAACTGCAAGATAAAACTGCACTATATAAGTGCCGGAAAAACAAAGGTTGTAGCTACCGTTTCGTTGTTTTTGTTTTTGACAAGGTCACGCAACTTTTATTTTTAGCTCAAACTTGTAAACAACATATAACTGGAGCATGCACACCCCTACTAATGTTATTGTGATTTAAATTCAAGACACGTGGTTTAGATTTACCTATTCAAAGGTTATAGGGTAGATCCGGTTTTATAAATAAAATTGGCAGTAAACAGGAAATTGCTATAGTCTGTTTCTCCTGAAACATGTCCTGTGAAAAATGTGTGTTTGCACACCTTTCTGAAAGACTTTCATGATTTTCAACAGAAATGGATGGCTTAAGGGTGGGTGGGTGGTAAATAACAATTAATACATCTTATACTTAACTGCAAAAATTACAGCTCACTAGCGACCGAGATGCTTGTAAAAAATGTATAATATCATTTACACTGACTAACCTTTGTTTGCCTTATATGGCTATTGCTATTAATGCGCACAGAGGATCTTACCACGAGCAACGCCAAATACATGTTTACATGTTACTTCGGACACGTGGTTCAGGCAAAGTAAAAAAGAATGTTCCTATGAATGAAACATTAGAAACTATTAAGAATATCACTGGCGTTTTTAATTTGTTAATAACTATAGAGAAAAATATGCTTAATAAAACGTATACGTAGTTCGTGTCAAGTTCAGAACACCAGCAATTCAAGGATAAGGAAAACGAGCAGCTTCTCCTATGCGTTTAAGGTTTCGTCAAAGGTCAGCATGTTTAAAAATTCATTTTTACAATAGCCTCAAGACTGTGTGAGGTATAAAGTTAAAACTTTTACAATTTATAAATTTTTCATTGATTAACAGATATAAAGTATCGCTTGATAAAAAAAATACTTGGAAAAAATATTAATTGAGAAAAATTATACTTAAAAATGCATATATTTTCAAAAAAATACACATAATTAATTCCATGCTCTTAGTAAAAACCAACATTGCAGAAACAAAATATGTTTATCAACGAAGGGCAAGTTGGACTTGGATAGCCTCTGGAAAGTTGTTTTTCCTGTTTATTTTGTCCAAATGTTAAGACTTGAAAGTGAAAGACTAGTACATTGCAAATGGCAGATTCTATAGGGGTCTTGTCTTTATACATGTCATGCTTTCAATAACAGCCTGTCAGAGACCATTCACGTCCAACTTGCCCTTCTATGATAAACATATATTATTTCTGCAATGATGTTTTTCACAAAAAGGACACAATTAAGCAGGTGCATTTTTTTAAAAATATGCACATTTTTCGATACAATTTTTCTCTTAAAAAAACTTTTTTTCAAATATTTGTTATCAAGTGATACTTTCTATCTATTAATCAATGATATCTTTATTAACTGTAAACGTTTTGACTTTAAAACACACATAGTTTTAGAGCTACTGTAAAAATAATTTTTTAGACATGTTGACCATTGACGAAACCTTAAATGGACAAAACATTTTTTACATAACTATACATGTATACTCGTGATCATGTGTGTTGGCAAGGGAATCCACCTGGCAATTGTATTCACCGATAGTATAATAAAGGAATTTATCAAGCGTAAAATTCCTGCAGTATTCGTATAGTAACCCATAATGCAATTCTCATTCATCTGATTTGTCAGTTAAAGTCACATTGGTGCCCCATTTGCTAATCTGACGCCAAAAAATATAGTCCCGGTTCCCATGCAAAATATTTGTCTAAAAAGAAATTCTAATTCATGACAGCAGAAAATTGTATCATAGAAAAAACTTTAAAATAATTTAAACTTGAATGAATTCAAGAAAGATCGATTGAAGTACATTTCTACAGAATGATATTATAGGGTGGTGAAAACTAAAACACAACATAACTTTTCTGTTTACCATGTCTCCACGTGCTAGTCACTTCCTAGCCACATTTCCGTGATTAATTTACTCTATCTCGCTGAAGTCTCGCTAGCTCTCGCCAGAGCCAATGTCAGAGCTACCCTTAACTCATCGGGTTTTATAATATGCAGAACACCGACAAATAAAAGGTTCCGAACACATTAGTAGGGGTGATGCAAATGTGAGAAATATGTTCTAACAACGTTTTAAAAAGATTGCCTCTAAATTTTTGGTCTACTTACATTCATTCCTGGGTACTTGAGACCATGGTAACTATGGAAACTTATTCAACTTTTCTGCGCACGCGTGCAATGGGGTGGAAGAAGTATTGAGCAATATTTTCGGTCTGGGGCATACAAAAATTATTTTTTCTTTTATTTTTCTCCTTAAAAATAGAATTTTTAGGTTCTAAAACCTGTAATTTTCTGAAGCCTAATACTTTTAGGAATTGAACAAAATTAAAGGGTCATGCAAAAATTTTACATTTGTCAATTTTCCCCTTTGTGCGTCACAGTGCCGCTTTAAATAAGAAAGAGCTATATAAAGAGTTCTCTTTTATGTAAAACACGCATTGCAAAGAATTTGTACATAATGATGATTTTATCATGTATATTTGAGTTATCATAACACATGTATTGGTCGAACACGTGCTTACTCCATGTTTATGAAGACCGTCAATTTGATTGGTCATTATATTTATGAAATACCTGTTCTACAGGTATTCGATTGAATCATTTGACCGATTTTTCCTTTCTTAAGAAATGGGCGTGTCATTGTATGACAATCATCGTTCTAAAGATAGGGCAAAACGTTCAAGTCAAACGGGAAATTTTACCACTTTAATGCGCTTCATTGTATTTATAGTAAGAAACGCCTACAGCCAGGACTTTGCTTAGCCGGCTAAAAATGTAAAGACCTATGTCTGTCATAGTGGTTAATATTTATGACATATGTCTTCAGTGAGATTTCAGAATCTTTATTTTTTCTTTTCAGTCGTTCGAATACTTTGATTAAAGTAGACTGTAGTATCTTTATTTGGCAATGCGAGAAGAAATGGTGACAGGATTGCATCCAAACAGTACTGCGCCTTTGACGACTGCAAGCTCTGGATCGGAGGGAATAATGACTCTCATATCTGGAAAAGATTGCTTGATAACGTCCTGTAGGATTGGTGACTCGGAAAAACCTCCGACCATTATAATGTTGTTAGTATCTGAGATGTCCGGTTTCTTTAATGCGTCTCTCACATGATCCACAATTTGATTAACTGCGTCTTCAAACAAGCTCTGAATCACTTCTGCTTCAATTCTGAATTTGTTGTTCCTAAATGTAATTTTTCCTGAATAAATGGAATTCTCTATTGCCTCTTTAATATTCTTCCCTGCCTTCTGTTCGAAAGTTTTCACCAGAGAAATTGGAATAAAAATGTAGACATTGCCCTGTATGTCAACAGTAATCCTACGCTTTTTGATTTCGAAATCTCTATAAAAATCTACAGAATCATCTGTAAATGAGCGGGCAAATTCATTGAAGACTGGGGCTCCTACTATTTGGATCAGCATCTGTTTGAAGGCCTCATTTACCTGATTCCCTCCCATCCCTCCTCTACTATCTTTGTGCATCTCTTTTAGGTTGTGATCAGGTTGAACTTCATAAACGGTGAAATCTACTGTTTCCCCTTTAAAAATACAGAGGTGTTTTAAAAACTCCCAAATATATCTCTTCACATTTGAATAAGAAGTTTCTTGATTGGCCGTTTTCACTTTAAAATTTTCAAATTTGTAACGATGACAATTAAAAAGGAAAGGGGTTTTTAAAATCATACATAATGATCATGAAGTAAAAATTCATTTGAATTAAGACGCTATGAAACCATTACAGAATTGATTCTTAAATAATACTGATACGCAAAAACAATATAGCAGTAAAACATGTTTTGGTTTGGCATGGAAAAAGTAAATTCGAAGGTGTAAATAAAGTAACAATGATTCTGTAAGACTAAAAGAATAAAAGTCGTTAACCACTATAATCGCCCCTGTAAAATTATGAAATAATAAAGTGGTGTAATTTTTAAATTTATGGTCTATAACACATGTCCAGGGCACTAACTTTAGAAATTCGGTATTAGTTTGGTAGATGGCGCGCGCGATTGGTAACAGCGAAACTCGAAACCGGGAGAGTATTCCGGAAATCTACAATTTTTTTGCATACTAGTATTTATTGTATTTCAACGTATTTTTTAATGTGTCCTCATTCGAGTTTGTATTCCAAACTTTTTCAAATGCAAAATCATATCATAATCATCAATTTTAACGTTTCATTTTGACCTTACAAAGATGCGGACATGACGAATATTAAAGTCATATACGCTGTATGAACGCCGAATTTTGTGTGAAACAAAATGATTAATTCTTTAAAACACATGAAGTGTAATGAAAAATAATACTTTCCACAAAATTGTACTATAGATGTCGTTGTAATAACAAAACAATTAAACATATCTAGGAATTAAGAATTCAGTCTTTTCATGAATATTGATGAAGGAAGTGCGTAAACAGTAGGCCTATATATAGAAACACATGTCCACGGGAAATCATATACAACGAGATATGTTGCATTTTGACAACAATTATTAATATTAAGGTCAATATGCGTCATAACAGAGAAGATAGTTGATACTGAATACATTAAAAGATAAGTACCATTAAGAGTAAGACGCTTGCTATCCACGTCCAAAGTGAGTAGTATCTCAAACGGCCTACCTTGTTTTCTTTACGCCACGTGTGTTTATCAATCTAAAAGTAGCGACAGCGTCACGTGATAGAATATAAAAATAGCTATTTTTCTTTCCTTGCAGGATAATAAATAATTATAATTTGATAACTTTGTAACGCGTTTAATTTTAATGGTGTAATTTACAGTATTTTCGTAACTTTTATTGATAAACAAATGATATCAATTTCCAATCGTATTTTAACTGGCGCAAGTTATAGCGTGTATACTTTTAATAATTTGTATTTCGCAGATAAAGATAAATCATGACAATAATGACGTTTTCCTTCATCATGCTTATTTCACAAATATATAATGACATTTTCTTCAAGATGAATTGTATTGAGTACTTTTTTCACAACAAGAGAACACTACCACGACTACTTTATGGGCGGCGGAAAGGGTAAAAAGACGTTTATGCAAAACTAACAACTAATTTTATAAAAATAACGAAATACAAAACAGACAACCTTAAAAACAAAATCAACAGACTTGTTTGCAAAATCAACAAACTCCAATGCAAAACCAACGATCACCAATGCAAAACCAACGATTATTCACAGAATTTTCGCTAGATGGCATGCAAAAAACAAATAATATGTTTTACAGTGCGACCGTTGGGGCGTGCGCAGTTATTTACTATCAAAAACCTTTTCACAACTTTTACTTACACTGCCTATCCTCAGTTCAGTAAAAAAAAAATCACTCCCTAGGCATCGGGATCGAGATTCCAAACTTCTCGGAAGTTTCCGACAAAATCGGAAATACCCGAGCCGTTTAAATGACGAAAGTATGACGTCAAACAAGTAGAGCTTTTTTAAAAAGCTTACCGTCTTTAGCAACAATCTTAAGCAGTAAACTGATCTACACCTATCAGGCCGTATAATTCTTTTGAATTTTGTATTTCACTGACATTAGCGCTACCAAGGTTGTCGCTCGGTCATCTCCGTAAACTTTGACTGGCCGAGAGCTTTCGGCAAACCTCGGCTGATTCCATTCCCTTCTTCAAACAAGAAAGAGGAAAAGAATAATAACAAAATGTAAAGCCTGCAAGCTATAAAAATCAAATTTTATTTATAATGAAATTAAAAGAGACCTTTTTATTTATTGCTATAAAAAATACCATGTTATTAAGAATTAATTACTGCTGATTTTGCTGTTCGTTTTGTCATTTTTTTAAGATTGGAAATCTTGCAAAATTGTTAAGTCGTACGAAAATTAGATCATCAGAAAGTTATCTCCCTTGCCTTGAACAGCATTTCACCAATGAAAAAAATGAAAATTTTCACATCATGCAATTTCTACCAATCACAAAAGAGAGGAAGTGCATAGTCCGAGGACTGTAAAAAACTTCAACTATACAATACCGTCTTCCAAGGAAGACAGTAATAAAAAGTCCTGTTGACTTGGAACACAAACGATAATTTTGTGGCATGGAGATTGCATTAAATCGTTGTTTGTAATTTTTTTCAAGTAAGTTGTTGCTATGTTTTAGCCACCATGTTGCTATGCACCGCAAAGGATTAATGGGAGTTTGGAATTTTTTCACGCGGTGAGATAAAAATTTCTTGGAACAATGCGCAGATTTCAACCCGAATTTCCTCCGTTCGTACACGTTAGTCTATTGAGCTCGCTACGCTAAGCTAATATGTGATACGGTGCGACCGTTGGGGCGAGCGCAGTTATTAACTATCAAAAAATTACACAGCTTTTACTTGCACTGCCTATCCTCAGTACATTTAAAAAAGAAAAGAATAAAAAGAAATCACTTCCCAGGCATCGGGATCGAGATTCCAAACTTTTTGAAAGTTTCCGACAAAATCGGAAATACCCGAGCCGTTTAAGTGACGAAAGTATGACGTCATAGAAAGTTTTGTTGACTTAGAACGCAAACGATAGTTTTGTGGCATGGAGATTGCATTAAATCGTTGTTTTGTTTGTTTTTTTTTCAAGTAAGTTGTTGCTATGTTTTAGCCACCATGTTGCTATGCACAGCAAAGGATTATTGGGAGTTTGGAATTTTTTCACGCGGTGAGATAAAAATTTCTTGGAACAGTGTGCAGATTTCAACCCGAATTTCCTCCGTTCGTTCACGTTCGTCTATTGAGCTCGCTACGCGAGCGGCGCCTCGCGCCGCCTTGCTGCGCTCGCTATTACCTGAATTAACGCTAGATGACGCGGAAGTTTTCTACGTCATCATTATTTTTGTACTTTCATGTCAAAAGGCTGAAATGTAGCACAGACTAGGTAATTCGCATGCCTCTGTTTCAATGAAAAAAAATAAAAACAGCAAACATGTATGCGATACTTTCTGGGTATAGAATTAAAGTTTAATGTCAAAAATTTACAATGATATGCATCAAGGTGCATTTCAAGCATAAATTATGCATAGAAATGTGTATTGAAGTGTGAGATCATTTGGTTTGTTTACACTTTTATGCCAAGCGAGAGCTATTCGGAGGTCATGACGTCGTCAGAAGTTTATTAATAACCAGGGAATTCCCTATTTTTATGTGAATATTTTATCTGACACACAATCGCATCATCTCGAGTCTTTCCGTCAGAGGTCGGAAAAACAACCTCGAATGTATTAACATCATCGGATGTTAAAAATTTATACATTTCCCGTTTATTCAAATATAGGATAGACGGAATTAGAAGTCCCTTCTATAGTATTTTTCGTTAATATCATTACATTGAATAAAGTTAGACTCCATATTCCATACATAAAAGGTCTACATGTATTTATTTAAAAGATCGTGAAAATGGAGGGTTGTAATGGCGTCTACCATATACATTCGAGGTCGTTTTTCCGCTATCCGGAAAGGCCCGAGAAGTTGCGATTGATCTGACACATTGTGTCATGTGGTTAAAAATATGAATCTTTCAAAAAAGTTGCAATGAAAACAAAAACATGTTTTTATACTGTACTACTTACTTTACTCTAGCTAATTGTGGTCCGGGTCCAAAAATCCCGCGAAATTGTCTATCATTTACATACATTTTGCCAATCGCAACTTCTCGGGCCTTTCCGACTAGCGGAAAAACGACCTCGAATGTACTAGGAAGACGCCATTACAACTCCCCCTTTTCACGATCTTTGAAATAAATGCATGGAGACCTTTCATCTGTGGAATATGGAGTTCAACTTTATTCAATGTAATGATATTACCTAAAATATACCATAGATGGAACTTCTATCTCCGTCAATCCTATATTTGACTAAACAGGAAGATGTATAAATTTTTAACATCCGGTGATGTTAATACATTCGAGGTTGTTTTTCCGACCTCTGACGGAAAGACCCGAGATGATGCGATTGACATTTTGCAAACCTCGGATAAAAGCATCATGTCGGACTTTTAAAATTCAAACATATTAGAGGCAGCAAGACATCTAAAAACCGAACTGTAAATATATGACAAGAAACCAGTAGCAGATATTGGTATTTTTCCCCATAGAGAAATTTTTGAAAGAAAAAAATTCCCTACACTCTTAAAAAATTTCATATATAATATATACATGTAAAATTATTTTACTGTGTTCATGCATTACACAATTTGTTGATACCTGAAAATTCACTTGGCAGGTTGTACTTGTTTCATTATTCCTTTTCTTTGTACGACTAAGTAAAGTCTATTACATTTATTTTAGAATAAGTTAATCTAGGAAGCAATCTGATTAAAATCAGATCCTTTGATCCGCTCACATAGATCGCTATACAAGTAGCAATCTATGTGAGCGGATCAAAGGATCTGATTTTAATCAGATTGATTAGCCTAAAGGAAGTATCATGTCGCTCAGATATGGTTCATATGTGTTAGACAATAAGTAAAAGATAATTTTATCAAATTGCATGTATTGCCCAATAATTCGGCAGTTTTCAATAAAAAAGATATGCACGGA